CCTCCCACCCAAGACACGCAGCCAGTGTGGCCAGTGTTCAAGAGAAGCCACAAGTCTGCATGTGAAGTGTGTGTGTGTGTGTTGTGTGATTTCCTCTTTTAAATGTTGGATCAAATCAGTAAAATAAAATCAAAACTCCTGTGCACACCAAGTAGGTGTTCAAGGCTAGGCTGTGGCCCACAGGCTGCCAGCCTACAACCTCTCTGCTCTGAAAACCTACCAAACAACCCTGCATTTATTAAGTAATAATTCATCTGTTTTCCCATATTTTATTTATCAAAGACCTCAGTAACTGTCAAGCAGAACTTCTTATCAGCAGGAACTGACCAGCGGACAAGTGTTACCTCCCAGGGGTTGACTATAAATCCTGGCGAACCAGGAAACCCTGACATTTTAATTAGCTGGAACATGCTTATCAGCAGTCAATCCCGCCGGTGCCATTTCACATTGTTTGTGAACCCCTAATTGGGAATCTCTGATTTGGTCCCTCCAGGGCCACACCTCATGCGCGTGGGCTCGTCCTCATTATTTTACCGTGGCGGCCGCCTTTATATTATTCAACATACCACCAACACCGCGAGCTGCTCTCACACAGCTGTGCACAGCAGAACATCCTGAAACCACAAGAAAAAAGGGGGTTCCATTTGCCACAGCACCAGCAAAAGAATACGGAAAAAAAGGTTTTTTTTAAACACAGAACAAATAATTACCCCGGATCAAACAAGGCAGCGGACAGATTTCCTCCTCTCTGGGCTCCTGGAGAAACCACAGAATTCTGCAGCAGGGACGGGCCCAGGAAGAATCTTTGTTACTCTCAAGGCACCGTGGAACCACCTGAAAGGCACATGCTTACCTGGCCCCTCCGTGGAGATCTGGGGGTCGGGGACCCCATTTCTTATGGATCCAGAAAACCCAAGCCTTGCAGGGAACCATAGCTTTGGGGAAATCCCACGCAAGGATCTGTCCCGTCAAATACAAGCAAATCCAGATTCAGTAAGGAGAGACTTCATTCAGAAGGGTCATTAGGGGAGCGAAGGTGGCAGGACACAGTGTTGATGCAGGGAGAGCTCAGGTCGGGGTCTGCAATGTGGCAAGAGTACGCAAGGTCAGGCAAAAGGCCTTTCTTTCACGGGGAGGAGGGAGCCAGGCTGGGAAGAAGGGGTGTGGGCAGTAGTCTGTGCGGGCATGGGCTGGAGATGACAGGGGTGCGGATGGGAGCACATCGATCTGATAGACGGACCTGTCTTGGGAGGGGCTGGCTGCCGGCTCTCTCTAAGGGTGGGCCAAAGCTCAGGCGCGTGTGGAGGCAGAGAAGCTTCACCCGAGTTTGGCTGACCAGTGTCTGTTACAGTTGACGGTTTGGTGCCGCCATTCGCAAAGCGAAGGATGGGAATGTGGGGTTCTGTGTCCGGCCTTGATGGAGAGAAAGGGGGCAGCAGCATCCTCGAGTCCTATCAGAGTCTCGGGGGAAAGGGCGTTTTTCTCTACAAGCTGTATCCGGAACGCAAAAGGGTGCGGGACTTCTTACCCAGGCTGTTTTCCAGGACATGGGGCTCAGGTGAAACTTAACACTGTCACCACCACCCCCGCCCCCCCGGGGTCACCTACAACAGTCCATGGCTTATGGATAAGTTTAGAATTCCCCCACCTTTGCCTGGAGCCATCTAATGAATTTTCTGGGCCTATCCTTTCTGGAAACTTCCCTTCTATTCCCCCCCCCGAACGAGCTGCTCCCTCAAATTCTGGAAGGCTCTGCAGTAGGAAGCAAGGCTGGGGCTGAGCCGAGAGGCTCGTCTCAGGCTCCCCTGGAATTTGATGGAGGCCCCTCCCGTCTCTGACCCCCACGTCGGGCCCTGCCATCACGGGCTTCCAGTGATACCCCAGACCCGCGGCCTCTAGCCTTCCCTCACCTCTCTCACCCCTAACCCCCCAGCCAGCTCTTTCCCCAGCTGTAGACTCTGACATGGCCTAGCTGGTTCTGTTGCAGAACCCAAAAGCTTTTTGATGATCCTAATCTGCCTATAAAAGTACTTCCAAGGGCTGCATTGCCACAGACATGGTAAGTTCAAACCTATTTCTCTACGACAGTAAAAATAACACCGATGGGTGTTATTGTTACTATAAGTGATATGACTACTAAACGGCGCCTACGCACGGCTGCATGCCAAACCCTGCTGGGAGCGCTTCGCATGCGTGAACTGATTCATCGGATCCAGGCAACAATTCTGCGGAGCTAGTCTTCTTATTCCCGTTGTACAGATGAGGAAGCTGAGGCACAGAGGGGCTTCTCCTAGTTTCAGAGCTGGGATTTCAAGCCAGGCAGCCTGAGCCCGAAGCGGGACTTTCGCCGCCACCTTCCACCGCTCTCAGGGCGACGAGGCAGTGCCAGTTGGGTTCCCAGAAATGATGATTTTCCGCTCCGTGGCGGCTGGAGCGGACACAGGACACCTGCTGGGAAGTCGGCGACCATTTCTGCTGCAGAGGCAAGTGTGTATGTCTGTTTCCTAAAACTGGCTGCTGACACAGGTGTCTGCTTACTCCAGGGCACCATTTCTGGACCCGTGTTGGGAACACAGGCGCTTTTCATTTTAAGAGGCTCTCAGAGCAAATGAACTTGAGATTTCATTAAGATAGCTATTGTGTAAGAAAACCGGGCAATCTGGCTGAACAGGTTTTGTTTTTGTTTTGTGTTTTAAAAGAAGTACCTATTTTAAAGCAAGATTATTACTATTGGTTACCCCAGTCTCTGCAGCCAATTCACCTCTCTCCTAAACCTGTCTGATGGGGGGTGGAGTGGGGGTGGAAGGGGTCGAGAGAGAAGGGAGGAGGCTGGGAAGAGGAGCGGTGGACGTGGGGGTTCACAGTGCCCGCGATCTGGAAGTTCACCCTGGCCATGGCAGGGCCAGCGTGGGAACGTGATCGTAACAGCAGGGCTCACCCAGTGGCGACTGAGTCCTGCTGTGCCCGGGTCACACACACGTCATCTCTCATTCTTAGGACAACCCTGGAGGCAAAGCTGGGGCATTGGAGTCTCTCCGAAATTGGTTGAAATCTCCTTTCCACTCCTTAATGAGCTGCGTGGCCTTCAGCGGGCTGCCGTCCCCTGTGTCAGTGTGGGTGTCCTCAGATAAAGGGAGGCCTCCTGGTAGTGTCTGTGAGCGTTAATGAAATCATGCGCATTACGTAAATACATCCTGCATATGAAGTCAGGACTAAGTAGATATAATTTTAAAAATGGGCATAATTATCCTCACCATACACAGAGGAAACGAGTCGAAATGACCAGACCCAAATCATGAGGCTAAGCAAGCAGTGGACGGGAGTCAGCAGATCTGGGTCCAAATTCCAGACTCGGTGAGCAGCTAATAAGTGGGAGGTCGTGTTACTGGTAATGGTGACTATCATTATCATCACAGGCTGGTGGCTTGGGGTCCGGGACCTGCGCTGATACCCCGTTGTGACCGGCGCCCTGTGGGGACTCTGTCCTGCCAGCAATAACAGCTGCTAATGAGGTTGGGGCTCCCAAGATGATTATCGGGAACAGTTTCCTCTCACACTTTGGCCTCGCTTGCTTTCTTTCAACGTTTATTTATTTTTGGGACAGAGAGAGACAGAGCATGAACGGGGGAGGGGCAGAGAGAGAGGGAGACACAGAATCGGAAACAGGCTCCAGGCTCCGAGCCATCAGCCCAGAGCCCGACGCGGGGCTCGAACTCCCGGACCGCGAGATCGTGACCTGGCTGAAGTCGGACGCTTAACCGACTGCGCCACCCAGGCGCCCCAGCCTCGCTTGCTTTCTATGCCAGTGAAGCAGAGGGGAGGCTAACCGCTCATGGGAGCCCTCAGAATTCCTCTTCAGAGGTGACACTGCCACCCCAGCCTGAAATTTAAAAACCCTCGCACACGTACTCGTGGATACACATCAGGAATTTAAAAGATCTTCCAGGGATGCTGCGGGACCACGTTTCTGGGTAACGCTAACAATGATTACAAACAGGCGATGCGGAGCATAACTGAAGAGTCAGCCCCAGTCATTGTCTGGCTGTGCAACTGTGAGCCTGTTCCTTAACCTCTCTGAGCATCAGTTTGCCCCTTTTATTAAGTGGAGGCAGTAACAACCTGCTACACAGAGTTGGGGTGGGGGTGGGGTGGACTGAGATAATGCTTGGAAGGTGCCTGGCACCTAACAAAAGCCATGCTAAAGTTTACCCGTTATTTGGGAAGACGAGTCCCCCATTGGCTTCCAGGGAGGCAGCGGCCACACTTGCTGGGGGCGGGTGGGCCAATACTGAGGCACTACATTCATGCTGTCTCCTCTTCAAACACAGCACAGCGGCCACCTCGACCCCACTCCCGACCTCTCGGAGGGAAGGAAGTGAATAAAGACCTAGCAGGTCCTGCGGAAAATCCGCCAATCCCACCACCCTGCCCTGGCCCTCTGCTCTTTACCTTAACCCCAGGACACGCTTGACCCTTCCCTTCAGTGTGTCTGAGCTCTACTATATCCTGGGGAGAAAGCCAAGTTCTTAGCCATGACATTGGCCTTTTTTCCCTTTTTTGTTAAAAACAAAACAAAACGAAAACAAAGCGGTGAGAAATGTTCCCTCCTTGCCTTCCTGCACCGTCTCCTCTTTCAACCCCTCAATTTCTTAGGAATGAAATCATCCAAGATATAAATAAAATGTTCTAAATAAAGCTCTATTCGACTGCAGCCGAAGACATATCTGCGTATGTATGTGACTGTCAGCCAAAATAAATTAACCTCCAGTGGAAGTCATTTTCATGTAATTAATTATTCTTGTATCAGCTGAAAGAGACAGGTGCACCACTGGATTGCCTTGCTCGAACTTCTCAATGAACGTCTTAAGGAGGCTAGCTACACTTAAAACACGCCAAGTGACTAGTGCACAGCTATCGCTTTTGTTCTGATACTGTTTCTTGACTTAGACCCTCGATTTCTCCATCACTGCAAAGGGAAAACAAAAGAACGGACACCAAAGGCATTTTGAAGTGCGTGATGTGCTAATTAAGAAGCAGGAATGCAGCCTCCTGTTTCAGCTGATGTCTTCCTTCTCCAGCTCAAGGAAGGGTTTAGGCTGCTTGGGGCTTTACGGCAAAACAAGTTGGGATGCGGTAAGTCGGTTACCAGCCAGAGTTCTTACCGTGTCCGGGAGGTCAGAGCCCTGGCGTGTTAAAGTACTCGTACGAGATGACAAAATAGGCCGAATGAGAAGATGGCCAGGTGAATTTGCAACTTGTTGCATGAAATGATCCAAAGAAGGACATTAGGGAGTTGGAGCCTCTGGTGGAGTGCCTTAGGTCTCTTTCTTTCACCTTCTTTTGAAGCCATCACTGCGGGACATGACAGAAACCTGGGGGAAGAGTGGTTATACTTGGTGGCTGAGTGAGACCAACCGGCCCGGACAGACTGGAAGTGATGGGCTGATTGAACAAGCCGTTTTCCAAAATAAATGTAAATCCTTGCACCAGGGGTAAGAAAAACCAACTAACCAACCAACCAACCAACACCACAGGGTACAAAGAATTTACTTAAAAGCAACCTTACAATCCTAACCCTTCCTGAGTCATCTTGTTTTAAGTTTGCCTCTTATTTATTAGCAGCATATGACAGTATTTTAAATCCAATCTGATATTTAATAGGTGAGATTAACCCAATCACATTTATTGTGATGACTGATATACTGGGGCTTCATTCTATCATCTCGTTTTGTATTTTTCTATTTACTATGTTTCTCCACCCCCCCCCCCTTACTTTCCTTTATGAATTGATAAAGTTTCTTTCTTTCCTTTTCTTCCTTCTACTGTGTTGGAAACGATAGCCTATGCTTCTGTGTTTTTCTTTGCTACCCATACATTTTTAAACAAATATACTTTATCTTTTTCTCAGAGCCTAAAATTATGTAGTGTCTCTGTTCTTCCCTTAAGCAAAAAAAAAGGGCCTGAGAAAATTCAACCTCTTCCCTCCCATTTTCCCATGTTACTGCCCTAGAGAAGTTGGCATCTCTCTTTTGTAAACACAAAAATAGTTTTGCTAGATTCAGTAGTTCATAAGATTTATGAAATTATTTCATGATGTATTTATTTTACTCTTGCCTCTTATGTCCCACTCCTTCACCAGAGTGAACTTTTCTCTTTGCTGAAGTGCATGCTTTAGAAGCTCTCCTGCGGAGGGGTGGTTCTCACTCTTGAGCGATAACTCATAGCTTCTCTGGGTATATAATTCGAGATTGACAATTACTCTTCCGCAGCTATGTCATGTGTGCTGGCATTTCACGCTGCTGAGGAGATGTCTGGATTGTCTAGCTTTACGGGGAAATCAACGTCTGCTTTCTAATACCTGGGAATCTTTTCTGTTTATCTTTAAAACTCTGCAGTCAATAACATTGTCTGTGTGTCAGTTTATTTCTATATATCCTACATAACGCAGGATGAGAAATTCCTAGTTAAGGATCCAATATCTTCCCACAAAAACAAACGTGAGCAAGTGGGTACCTCTTCTTCCTGAACAAGGTGGCTCGGCGTCATAAAGATGTCAACATCTCCATAAAAACGCCAAGTAGGTTTTTTTTCCTGGAGCCAGACAAGATGATTTGAATGTTCAAATGGAAAGATAAACATGCAAAAAATAGGGAAACCACACAAAAGGGAAATAAAGGTGAGCTCCTGTAAACATACAGCCTCCATAACTGAGAATGTGGTACTATTGCATAAATAGACAGAAAGGTCAATACAAAAGCCAGAAACAGACCTAACAACAAAAGAAAATTTAGTGTATGTCATATGTGACATCTCAAATCATTGGGAGAAAAGAGAGACCTTTTAATAAATGGTTTTGTAATATATACATTTAGACTTGGACCAAGTTGAATTAGTTCTTCACACCATAAACCAGAAAAAAAATCAAAATGGATTAGAGAACTCATGTAAAGTCTTCTTTAAAAATTGTGGATGAATTCCTTTACAACCTGGATGTGGAGAAATCCTTTCGAAATATGATGAAAAATCCAGATGCCATCAATAAAGACTGATTAATTTGATTGCATAAAAATATACCTTTTTATGATTTAAAAAATCAGTGTAAGCAAAGTAAAAAACACACAACAAATGTGAAACCAGGGATCATAAATATAGCTCCTATTATAGACAAGTATGTATCCCTATTAATGTGTGTATATATATATATATATATGTATATTCTAGTATATATCCTAGTAACATCCCTAATATATAAAGAGCCTTTTTTTTTTTTCAACGTTTATTTATTTTTGGGACAGAGAGAGACAGAGCATGAACGGGCGAGGGGCAGAGAGAGAGGGAGACACAGAATCGGAAACAGGCTCCAGGCTCCGAGCCATCAGCCCAGAGCCCGACGCGGGGCTCGAACTCAAGGACCGCGAGATCGTGACCTGGCTGCAGTCGGACGCTTAACCGACTGCGCCACCCAGGCGCCCCCAAAGAGCCTTTTAAAAGGGAGGGTTTAAAGACCACAAACTTGACTGAAAAATGAGCAAAAGACATAACCACATAGTTCATAAAAGTCAATGTACACGTAGCCCTTTTAGACCTATGAAAAGATATTCAACTTAATAAGAGAAATAGAAATTAAAACTACACCAAGGTACCATCTCTTACCTTCCATTCTGGTAGAAATTCTAGACCTGAACAACACTGCTCTTTTGGGGAAAATGCAGTAGGATACAACATGGCTAGCGCCTCCTGAAGGGAATGTGGTGATATCCAACCAACCACAAAGCACTTAGCCTTGGCCGCTCCAATCCCGCACCGAGGGATTTACCCTGAAAACACACCTCCACAAATATGAAACAACGTATGAACAGGCCGGTATTGCAGCCTTGTTTCTAAAAGCAAAATATTGGAAAGAACCCAAATACCATTCATGGGAGACTCATTGAACAAATTGTGGTACGTCCATGCAGTTGATGGCTGTGCACCTGGGAAAACAATGAGGAAGATCCTTAGAATAGATTGGTCTCCAGGATATGTTGCTAAGTGAAAAAAGCAAATTGCAAAAGAGTATTGGAATATACTAAGTGTGTGTGTGTGTGTGTGTGTGTGTGTGTGTGTGTGTATGTATGTGTTTAATTTTTTTTCTGGAAAGGAACACAGGAAAGATAAACAAGCTAATGAAAGCAATTATCTCTGCGGTTTAGGAGACCAGAAAGGAAGTGAGAGGAAATGAGGCATCTCTGAGTGTGGCTTTTTGTTGTCGGGTTAATATCTACCATATTTACAATTATTTTCTATTTGTAGCCCTTTGTCTTTGTTTTTTTGTTTGTTTGTTTTGTTTTTGTTTTTGTGTTGTTTTTGTTTTGGTTTTGGTCTTCCTGTCTTTTTCTGTCTTCTCTGGTCTGAATCTTCTATGATTCAATTTTCTCTCCTCTGTTAGTATGTCAATTATACTGCTTTTAAGAATTGTTTTAGTGTTTCCAATGTACATGTACAACCAATCCAAGTTCACTTTCAAACAACTACTTCACGGTCAGCATGTACAGGTACATATAGTAGAGTATTCTAATTTCTGCTATAATGTTGCTGCTGGGCACCAGACCTATCCATTGGCTGTGATCACCCATTACCTTGTTGTTGTTATCATTTTGAACAGTTACTTATCAGATCAATTAAGAATAAGAAAAAGAAGACATTTTATTTTAGCTTCATTTATTCCTTCTCCAATGCTCTTCCTTTCTTTATGTAGATCTGAGTTTCTTTTTTTTTTATTTTTAAAAATGTTTTTATTTATTTTTGAGACAGAGAGAGAGAGAAACAGAGTGTGAGCGGGGAAGGGAGACACTGAATCTGAAGCAGGCTCCAGGCTCTGAGCTGTCAGCACAGAGTCTGACGTGGGACTTGAACTCATGAACCACAAGATCATGACCTGAGCCGAAGTTGGATGCTTAACTGACTGACCCACCCAGGCACTCCTCTGTAGATCTAAGTTTCTGACCTAACATTATCTAAGAGCTAAGAGCTCCTAACATTACTTAACAAGGTAGGTCTACTGGAGACAAATCCTCACTTTTTGTTTGAGAACGTATTTCTTCCTACCTTAGAGGGATGGCTTTGCTGGATCGGATTTCTAGGTTGGAGGTCTTTTTCTTTTTATGACCCAGTAAAGATTCCACTCCACTCTCCTTTTGCTTACGTGGTTTGTGACGCGATCTCTGATGTAATTCTAATCCTCATTCTCTGTACATAAGGTGTTTTCTTCCATTGGCTTCATTCAAGGTTTTCTCTTTGCCTTTGATTTTCTGCGGTTTGAATATGATGTGCCCAGGTATAGATTTTTTGGTTTTTATTCTCCTTGAAGTTCCCCGAGCTTGCTGTAACTATAGTTTGGTGTCTGTCGTTAATTGTTTAAAACTCTCAGTCACTATTATTTGAAATATTCCTTCTGTTCCTTTCTCTGTTTCTCCTCCTTCTGGTATCCCAATTACACACATGTTGTACATTTTGTGGCTGTCCTACCCTCTGGCTACTCTTTCCCACTGCCCCCCCTTTCCCCTCATTATTCTTTCTATGTGCATTTCAGTTTGGGAAGTTTCTTGACGTTTTTCAAGCTCTCTGGCTCTTTCCTCGACCATACCCTATCTACTGATCTGCCCACCCAAAACGTTGTTCATTTCTGTGACAGAGTTTTTGACTTCTAGCATTTCCTTCTGATTCTTTACAAGCATTTCCATCTCTCTGCTTACACTGCCCATCTGTTCTTGCGTGGTGTCCACTTTGTCCGTCGGATCCCGTAGCAGATGAATCATAGTCGTTTTAAGCTCCCAGCCTGATCATTTCAACATCTGTGTCATATCTAAGTCTGATTCTGGGGCTTGCTTTGTCTCTTCAGACCCTGTTTCTTCTTGCTTTCCAGCATGCCCGTAATATTTGTTGAAAGTCAGCCATGATGTGTCGGGTAATAGGAACTGAAGTAAGCCAGCCCCAGTGTGAGCTCTCTGGTGGCTTGGTCCTTGTCCCACAGGGACGCGGACAGGATGCAGTTTGACACCAGGTCGGTTTTGTGGGTGTCTCTGCTCATTCCTGCCACCTCAGGCAACCACCGTGGGCCACTGTTGCAACGTTTCAGCCCCCATCTGTGGGTAGCAAAGTCCTCCCCAGATGACCCAGTCCTCGGCTATGTAGAGTCAATTCTGTTCTCTCTACCTGGCAGGATTTAATTTCCAAAGAACCTAGGTGTTTTTCAAGGGCAGTTAAGTCTCAAAACATATTTTTATACTTTTTCCATTATTTCTATGATTTGGGAGATGGAAGGAGGGAAGCATTGTGTGAACTCACATTGCCTTTTTTATGGCAAGTAACCTCCTCTTCCCGCCTATGGCTTTGAAAAAGACACTCGGTTTCATAGAGCGCGGATCGCCTTCGCGTGTCGATTGCTATCTTAATTAGCTTGTAGACAGGCACTTGCTTGACTTGCTTGGATAATGATAACAATCCTTTTGGAAGATTATTGACTGATACTTTAGATTTTTCAATCAAAAACCTTAAATTGCAAAATTACATATTTCAGACGTGTATTAACTTCGGTAACAGAAGTAAAGAGGCCACATAGAATCTTTGAACATCGCTGAACTTCCTGCTCTGACGCACAATTATAGTATTTTTGTGAAATGACAAAGAAAGTAAGAGGACGTGATCCTTCCTCTCTTAACGGCGATTTCTTCTTCTTTTTTTTTTCAGCACAAACTCCGGCCTATAATCCGGGAGGCCAAGTAGGGTTCCTACTACCTTCTCTTCTCAATTGTTGTTCGCATTCAGCACAGGTGATCAGCCAAAATGCATTTGGGCGAAAATAGCAATTTTGCCCACCCCCAATCCTCTTTCTTTTCTGTCCCCCGTCACAACTCCAATCTGGCCATAATTGTACCGTTCCCATAACAACAGCCAAATAGCTGGATCTTTGTGGAGGGCTTATAACACAGTTGTCCACAAAGCCGCTGGCAATGCTGTGCAGACCGTGCACATCAGCATCTCATGAAAGAGACGGCTTTCGGGGTGAACGTTCTTGGCAGTCCCAGACCTAACTTGCTAGCCTGCTGATTACCACCGCCGCGTTCCCGAACCGAGGCCCGGCGCCCCGTGTCTCTCCTACAATCCTCACGTGCATGCACCTTACTCTTCCGATCGTCATTCCCTCGTGGCCTCCCTGGGACATTCAGAACGGCCCATACGGAGAGAAAAACACAACAAAAACTCCTTCGCAGGGTGTATTCCACCACATTGCGGCAAAAATCAAAGAATGACATCCTTGAGATCTCAGGGCTGTACTTGAGATTACATAGTATATACTTATATATCAATATTTTATTTATATACATAAAAGGAAATATATTTCCTTTTTGCCTAGCCACTGTGTGATTTCAGGGAGCAAATTTGTTGATCAGGACCCAAGAGCTGGCTGGATGAGGAGCTTCCTTTGTTATGGACTGCAGGCATGTCGCGTTAAGTTAGATGAGTTCCTACCTACGGCTATTTTGATCTCTCCGTAATGAATGAGACAGCCGCCGTGGGTAAACCTGGAGCTGAGTCCCATTTTCTGTCTGAACTCAGGTCTGGGATTTGCGGAATGACAGCTCCTGTCCCCTTGTGAATGCGCTGCTCACGTGCAAACTGACTTCGGTGAAAATCAGGGGTGGGGTGGGGGGCAGGGTGGCAAGAGAAAGGAGCGTGGGGATAAGAAGTTGTGAATCATGTTCGTGTGTGAACCCAGACTCAGGGTTTCTTACAGCCGCCATGCCTCACTGGCAGTGGCCGGTGTGAACGCCATTGGCATGGACTGCGGACAGAGCCCGGGGGCTCCCTCCTACGGAATGAGATCGTGGGTAAGCATCTCTGGTGTCCCTGAGAGCTGGGGTGGGCTAGGCTGTGGGACACCTTGATATCTTGCAACAAAGAGAGACCTACAGGCTTCGGGCTGGACCCGGCAGAAAGGGTGGCGACCACATCACTTTGGAAAATGATTTCATTTTTACCCTGTCCAGAGACAATGCCAATATTTTGCATTTGCAGGAATTATTGTCTAACTGTCTAAGCAGTTTCTTGTGTTTTGCTAATGGTTTGATTGATCCCACGTGCATGGAAATGTGCTCTGATGTTTGACTTTGTAAAGTTCGGGTCACAGAGAAGCAGCCCTGCCATCCCCCGGAGCTCGTGAGAAAGGTGGACCCTCTCCCCCTCCAGATGTCCTCAACCTGAATCTGTCTTTTAGCAAGACACTCAGGTGGTTCGGTGCACGTTAGGGGTTGGGAAGCTCTGTGCCGGGTTCATCCTTGGCAAGTGTGTTCAGATTGCTCTAGTGTTTGTATTTCCTTGGGAGGATGAATTTGTTATTCTTTACAAGATGTACTTTGGAGTTTTAGTTTAAAAGCTCATCTTGAATAAATGTGTGTACAGGTGTGTGTGTGTGTGTGTGTGTGTGTGTGTGTGTGTGTGTGTTTCTTTTTCCCTTGAGGTCTTGGTGACTTCAGCTGAGAAGAACGAAAGATTCACAGTCGAATCTGCCTGAATGTGGCTCAAGACTCCAGAACTGACCAACCATGTGACTCTGGACAAACTACCTCATGTCTTTGAACCTCAATTTGTTCAACTGTCCAGGGGGGATGTTATCAACCTCACCCAGTTCGTATGAGGATAAAAATAATATACGTAAAGCCCATAAGCCCAGTGCCTGGCACCTAGTGGGTGTTTAATAAATCATCAGATCATTACTGCCGTCTTCGGTTTTACTGAGGTGTAGTGAAACAGTGCAGTACCGTATGGGGCTCGGGGCACAGGTACACCCCTATGTAACCCCGACCGCGACCAAGGTTCAGAATATTTCCAGCCCACCAGAAAGCTCTTATGTCCATGTTATTTCAGAGAAGGAAAAGATCCAGCCTTTGCCCTTAGGAAGCTTTAACATCTCTCTGGGATAAGAAGTCTAAAGTATGTGAAGTTGTTAGTGAGCAATCATTAGCGAATGTACTTTTAACATCACGTTGTGGGCTGGTATCTCAGTCCAGTTATATTTTTGCTATAAGAAAAATATCACAGACTACAGGGGTATCTGGGTGGCTCAGTTCGTTAAGCATTTGACTCTTGATTTCAGCTCAGGTCATTATCTCACGGTTTGTGAGTTCAAGCCCCACACTGGGCTCCGCGCCAACTGTGCATAGCCTGCTTGGGATCCTCTCTCTCTCTCTCTCTCTCTCTCTCTCTCGCCCTCTCTCTCTGCCCCTCCACTGCTTGTGCACTCTCTCTCTCTCTCAAAATAAATAATAAACATTTTAAAAATATTTAAAAGTATCACGGACTCGGGGGCTTAACAGCAAATATTTCTCTCGGTTGCCAGGTTGGGAAGTCCAAGATCAGGGTGCTGGCAGATTCTCTGTGTGGTGAGTACCTGCTTCCTGGCTCACAGACACGTGCTTCCTGGTGTCCTCACATGGTGACAGAGGAAAGGGAGCATATTGGGGCCCCTTTTATTTATTTATTTATTTATTTATTTATTTAATTTTTTTTTTTAATTTTTTTTTTCAACGTTTATTTATTTTTGGGACAGAGAGAGACAGAGCATGAACGGGGGAGGGGTAGAGAGAGAGGGAGACACAGAATCGGAAACAGGCTCCAGGCTCCGAGCCATCAGCCCAGAGCCTGACGCGGGGCTCGAACTCACGGACCCCGAGATCGTGACCTGGCTGAAGTCGGACGCTTAACCGACTACGCCACCCAGGCACCCCTATTTAATTATTTTTTTTAAATGGCATAACATGATAATGAATTGTCTTTTTTTTTTTAATTTTTTTTAACGTTTATTTATTTTTGAGACAGAGAGAGACAGAGCATGAATGGGGGAGGGTCAGAGAGAGAGAAACACAGAATCTGAAACAGGCTCCAGGATCTGAGTTGTCAGCACAGATCCCCGACGCGGGGCTCGAACTCACAAACTGCGAGATCATGACCTGAGCCGAAGTCGGCCGCTTAACCGACTGAGCTACCCAGGCGCCCCTGGGGCCTCTTTTATATAAAGGCACGAATCCCACGTCATCTCACAAGTGTGTTGCCTCTTGGTACCATAACAGTGGGAGCTAGGATTTCAACGTAGGAATCTGGGGGATGGGGATACCAACATTCGGTTTGTTGCATGTAGGGACTCACAATAAAGGAATAGGGATTATGGTGGTGGTGGTGACGATGGTGATAATGACCATGGTGGTGGTGGCAGTGAAGAGGGTGATGGTGGTGATGGTGGTGGGGTCGGAGAGAAGTGGAAATCTGCACAATATTTGGAAAGTAAAATGGACCAGCTTCAGTGATTCTTGGCAATCACTTGGAAATGGAGGATGAGGAACAAGGACAAATCAAATTTATCTCGTAGAGTGTCTAGAAATTACTTTAAGCTGCTCTTGGCTTGGTTGAACCTGCAAATATGCATGTGTGGTGTAACAAAGGGCTTCAAATGGTAACAGTCTCCATGTTTGGGATTGCTGTGGTGGATTCGAGGTGGCTGCACGTTTCGACAGTCCTCTTATCAGGAGATGGGGCTTGTTTCCCTTCCCCTGTGATCTGGGCTGGCCTAGGGCTGGTTGGACAAACTCGTGGCAGAAGTGATGTGCACACCTTCTCCCACAGCATCTTGTCTCTGAACGCAGGGTGTCAAGACCCTGGTAAGGGATGCTCCATCCGCCTGCCTGGTCCCTGAGGGGTACCATGAGGCATTGTCTATTTAAATTAGAGAGGATAGAAATTACTCAATTTGAGCAGTCCTCCCCCTGGAAGAGATTAAATCCCAGCTAACAGGGAGATGGATGAGAAGCGGGGGGCAAGAATCTGTCAAGCGCTATTCCTCATCCAACCTCAGCTCACTGGAACGATGGCTCCTCAGTGACTGTTCGGACTGTGAAAGCGTATGCAATTTTAGGAATGTGCGAAATGAGGAAAATAAATCCATGAGTTCACGTGGCAACTCTTAAAAAGTCTGTGTGGTCCAGTTAGGTTATTTCTGTTACCATTTTCGTTGTAAAATGGCATTTCTTCCCGGGATAAAAGCTCATCGAAATGATGTCTTCCTAGGAGCATATATACAAACTTTACACCCGGCTAATTGTACACCTGATTAAAACTTAAATGCATCAGAACATCCTTCGGAATAATTAAAGACACTTCACCAACAGGGGCACGATGCTAAATGTGTCCAAACACATCTGAGATCAGCAGAGATAGAGCTACGGGGAGGGAGTTAATATGGCATTATGTCATTTCGCAGTAATTTTAAAGAATGCAGAATTTGGCTTTCAAAGGATATGCCTTTTCATTTGGGGTAAAATAAGGTGCACTCTCCAGTCAAAATAAGTGGCCCATTCGTGTGAAGTTAATGTATGAAGCACAATTTATCTCCAGGTTGTTGAAGGGAAGGCAATCATTTAAGGGCCACTGCTGTTCCCTGGGAAGGGAGCATCCAAGACAGTTTTGATCCATTGATGAGCGCTGTCTAATACGCTCCCCGAGGTACAGTTACCCTAAATCTATTAGACTTTTACAGTCTTCCAGGATGTGCAGTCTGGAGATGCTCCATCACACTGTATTAACTTGACAACGTAATGTACTGCCATCTTTTATTTTCATAGGAAGTACTAGGTTTGACCTTGAAACTCTTAACCACACTTTATAATCTTCAGCCCATCCTGGCAAAGAGGGCCCCCTAAGAAAAATGCCCTGGCGAGAGTTGAGTCCATAAAACCTTGGATTGGAATGACTGAAATGGGGGAGGTTTGGAGAGGTGGGGTACCGGCAGATCTGTCTAGATGCACAGGGGCAAGTGAAGCGAGGACGTGAAGAGTCACGAGAATTGTTAACAGCTGCGGTTTGCTGTGTTCTCGCCGTGTGGCAGGCACCGCGCTTCACAGGCTTTCCTACCTCCTCCTTGTGAGGTTGAATGGAGACTCAGAGAGGTTATGTTACTTACCCAAGATCACCCAGCTATTAAGTGGCAGAGGCGGGAATCAGACTCAGGTCTTTTTGACTCAAAAACCAGAGCTCTAAAGCACATGCAGTGATGGCTCACTCTGAAACAAAGTCTCCGCTTTTGAGAAGTTAAGTCATCTTGGGCCATACTTGTCCATTTGGTGCCTTTGTACACCATTGTCTA